TGTTTCTGCAGTAGATCATTAAATATTCTTCTGATCAAACCTGGTTTCTCAGTTGCTACTATCTTTATTGCCTCTGGTGGCAGCCCGTCAGGGCCGGGAGCTTTCCCTGTCTTCGTATCCTGGCCAGCGGTTTTCACCTCCTCTTCTGTGAACTCCTCTAGCATGGTTGGGAAAACCTTGGTGAAATATTGTATATCTTTGTTGGGAAAGAGGAGTTCAGCTGATCTCATCCTCTGGTCTTCGTCGAGTCTATATGGGGCCATTAGCTTTAAGGTCTTCATTGTGATTTTGTATGCGTCACCCCATATATCCTCGTCGAGTGCTTTTATCAGGGTCTGCCACTTTTCTTTTTTCTCTTTTTTTATTGTATTATTTAATATTTTCTTCAAATCTTTATATGTTTCTTTAAGCTCGAGGTTGCCCTGGCTTCTCGTATAATTCCTTCGAGCTCTGAGGCATCTCTCCCGTAGATCTTCTATCTCATCTGTCCACCAATAGGGGGATTTTTTTCCATTTTTCTTCTTCTCGGTAGCCAATTTTGCCGCATTTTGTAGAGCTGTTCGAAGTTGGCCGAGGTCAGAAATCTCATCTTCGCTTATTTTTCTGACCTCCGATAGGTACTTGTTTTTGTTGAAATATGATTTTACCGTACCTATCGACCGCTTTATCCCCCCTTTAACCTTTACCTCAAATTGTATATATCGGTGGTAGGTAAAGAGCTGATCGTCGAGTACATCCCACCCGTACACCTTCCTGGATAGCCCTTCGCTCGCGAATGTGATGTCAATGTGTGATTGGCTGGCCCCTCGTACGAAGGTTGGCTTATTGTTGTTTAGCACTTGGAGGCCAGCCTGGGCTATCCATTCATTCCAGAGTTCCCCCTTTTTGTCGTTTATGGGGGAGCCCCATTGTCTAGACTTCGCATTTATGTCCCCGGCGATCAGTTATTTGTTGAGAAAGAGAAAAGTTAGTATGGAGCAAGCCATTTTAAGCAACCGCAACCTAAGCAATAACTCTCCGATGGGCGCGCCCACGAAATGCTACGTACTCTCTACTACGCTACTTTACGGCGTAGAAGGGTGGACGTTTAACCGCAGCAATTATAAAGAAGTTAGCGGCTCTAGAAATGTGGCTGTATCGACGCATACTGAGAATACCTTGGACAGACAGAGTGACCAACACAGAGGTATTAAGACGAATGGGTAAAGAGGTGGAATTGTTTAACAACTGTTAAAAGGAGGAAAGCGTCATACCTGGGCCATGTGTTCCGTAATGATAAGTACAGTCTGCTACAGCTTATCGTGGAAGGCAAGATTGAAGGGTAGAAGAGGTATTGGGCCAGAAAGAAAGAAATCCAGGCTTGAGAAAACCTTGTAGAGGAATGGGTTTCAAATACCAGATAGCTGCGAACATAATTCATGCGGCACAAAACAGAGAAACCTATCGTATGGATGGTCGCCAACCTTCGGTAGAAGGACGGCAATCATAAAGAAGAAGGAACGATGGGGGAGCCCTAGAAACCATTGTCTAAGACTTCCGCATTTATGTCCCCGGCGATTCAGTATTGTTGTTTTTCGTTTATAGCGGCACCCATTATTTCATTAACGATTGTTTCGTATCTCATCATAGGATATTTGGAGAGTACATAGCATGCCAGGAGACAGAATCCCTTAACCTAATGAGTTAAATAATTTCCTCCCCTTACAAATGCTCTGCACTCCGACATCCCTATTTTTAATGAGCACCGCTACATTTTTTTCCTCGTCTTGAATCCACCCACCACCTGTCGTTATCTTTTTGTTAGTTCGGGTACGATGAGCAGGTCTATGTTTAGCTTGCAGCTTTTGCGTAGATAAGGTCGTAGGCTCGGCGCGCCCTGCCTACGTTCACCTGCAAAATCTTTATACCAGGTTGGTCTTTGGGGTTCATTATGGTTCAGTTCCCTGAGGTCGCTTCTGCAGTGGATTCGCGTCTTATATTAAACTTAAAATTATTATAGACTAGGATAAAAAAATAAATAAGTATAGATAAAATCAGTGTAATAAATAAAAGTTTTATAAATTATATGTATAAATAATAAATATGTATAAATAAAATATATGTATAGATAAAATATATAAATAAAATAAAGAAATATGTGTATATATATAAATTTTAAATAAATAACGTGTATGAGTATATAAATATAATAAATTGCAATTAATAAATACGTGAGTATAATATTATATACTTGGATGCCTTTATCCATGAAAAGCTGAGGGAGATGGCTTCCTGTCCCGCCGGTGGGCTGTATAGGGGCCCACTCGCGTTCTCCAGGGAGCCACCTCTCGCTTTTTTTGCTTTTCTTGTTACATTTACCCACCCTTTTGGGGTTCCCTGTCAACTCCCCTGCCATATACCCACCCTCTGTAGTGGGCACTGCATCCTATCCATTCTATGGCCTTCTTCATTACAGGTGAGGCAATTATGAAGTGCTGTTCGCACTGCACTGCTGTGTGTCCTGATTTTAAGCAGTTGTAAGCAGCACGCTGCCCTGCTCTCACCTTTGCACTCATATGCGCTGTGGGCCATAGTGAAGGCACTTGTAGCACCTTGTTGGGTATATCTTTCCCTGATAGGACATGACACCCAGCCTATAATTATGGAGCTGTATCTCCTCAGTTCTTCAGCTCTTGAGGGGCGTACGGCTACGGTCGCCACCTGCTCCCCATGTTTACCTATTCTAGCGTCTTTACGTCAATTTCATTGTGGGTATTCCTGTGTACATTTTTATGGCACTTTGTAGTCGTTCCTCCGTCACCACTGATCCAAACCAGTTATGTTAAAAAAACATTCTTTGCGCCGGATTGCCATATTTATCCCTGTCTCCTTGTATCCATCTCTTTTCGTAGTTTTTCTGCGGCTCCCTTGCCCTTTAGTTTTACTAGGATATCCCCTCCTTCTGTTTTTTTTGAGTCTTGCGCATAGGTTACCTGGATAGGTACCCTAGGATAGTTACTGAGTATCTTGACGAGGTTCAAATCACAGGATTTGTTTGGCCTGTTCGCAGTCCTAATGTCAAATCCCATAGAACATGTTTGGGATGAGATGAAGAGACGTTTACGGAGTCATGTGCCGGCCCAGCCCATGAAATTCGAGAGCTTCGCGACATATTGGTGCAAGAATGGAATAATCTTCCGCAGAATGTGATCCAAAATCTGATCCAAAGCGTGCCTCGTCGCTTGCCAGAGGAGGATTACTCGCTACTGAAGTTCTTAAAATTCTTTTTTTTTTTCAACAAAAAGGTGAAATTAAAGAGTTCAAATAGTTAAATACAGTTAAAAAATAGTTAAACAGAATAATAATTTCTAAAATAAATTCAAATTACGGGGTGACCCTAATTTTATGCTGGGTAGTGTAGTTTGCCTACGTTACAATTTTATAGAAAGCTTTTCTAGTTATTTTAAGATTATAATTATTTATATGATACTGGTTTATCATAAAAATAACAAAAACGAAATAAGATTTTGAAATATTCTTTTACTTCTTAGGAAAAAATATAACTTGGTGTTAGTTATATTTCTAATAGTTGTGGTTATACTGGAATTATATGCCCCATACACAAAAAAGGAAACGTTCTTGAATGTTCCAACTTGAGAGGGATTTCCCTTCTTAATACAGCATACAAAATTGTGTCCCTGATACTTAACGAACGACTGGCACGGTATACTGACAATATAATAGGATCCTACCAAAGAGGCTTCTTGAAAAACAAATCTACCATTGATCACATATCATCCATCAGACAAATATTAGAAAAAACGACGGAGTACGACATAGACTGCCATTACATCTTCGTAGACTTTAAGGCAGCGTACAATACTATTGACAGGTCCCAATTATATTCGGCGATGATCGAATTAGGAATACCAAAAGGTTTGGTAGAATTAATTAAAATGACAATGATGAAAGTCGAATGTAAAGTGCGCGTACAAGGGGATGTTTCAAAACCATTTAAAACAAACAGAGGACTGCGCCAGGGAGATGCGCTATCGTGCACGCTGTTCAACCTAGCGTTAGAAAAAGTTATGAGAGATTCGGGAATAAACTTAAAAGGTACGATATATACCCGTAGTATACAAATAATGGCATACGCTGATGATATCGTCATAATTGGAAGAACCCAAAATGAAGCAGTGGAGGCTTTCACACGTATCAAAAATGCCGCAGAAAACATCGGACTTCTGATTAACATCCAGAAAACTAAATATATGCCGGCCATATCAAGAATTCAACAAAATAACTTAGAGGTGCAACACGAAACGATAGAAATGGTAGAAGAATTCTGCTACTTAGGATCACTGGTAGACTACAAAAATAACACATCCAACGAGATAAAAAAAAGAATATGCGTGGCTAACCGCTGTTATTTTGGCCTGGGCCCTCAACTAAGAGCGAGAAGTATGTCAATAGCAACAAAGTGCAAACTTTATAAAACAATAATACGCCCAGTGCTCACATACGGATCGGAAACATGGGCAATGACGACCCGAGATGAAGAGTTACTACGAGTCTTTGAAAGAAAAGTATTGAGGACCATATATGGCGGAGTAAACGAACAGGGTCTGTGGAGAAGGCGATATAACTTTGAACTCTATAGACTTTTTGGTGATGCAGATATTGTGAAGACCATCAAAATAAACCGCCTAAGGTGGGTGGGCCACGTTATGCGGATGGATGAGAGTGATCCCACTAAAATAACTATGCTAAACAGGCCGGTCGGAAGAAGAAGAAGGGGGCGACCTAAACTCAGATATCTGGACGATGTACAGGAAGATCTGAGGGAGATTGGAGTGAGGGGCTGGAGAAGACAGACACTCGATAGGGAAGGATGGAAGAATGTTTTGAAGCAGGCCAAGGCTCACGAAGGGCTGTAGCGCCAACTGATGATGTGGTTATATTTCATTTATACTAAAAATTTTCATTCACTTTTTTACTTATTATAAAATAATTGTTTTTAGGTATTGGTAAGTTTTTCTGATCTCACTATAGAATCAAAACTGCCATTTGGTGCGGTTTTATCGCTGTTTAGTGCATTTTTTTACGCGACGTACCTCGTTTTTCTTAAAAGGAAGGTAGACCATGAAGATAAAATTGGTATTCCATTGTTTTTCGGTAAGTTTTACTTAAAGTTAAAGCTACTCTTCAAACTAAAATTGTTCTGAACCACTATTTTCGTGTGACATATTTACATTAATTACTATTTAGAGAAATAATATAAGTGGCCATGGACGTATAAGGCTTTATTCCGAGTTTAAATAGTAATTACATCTTCAAAACTGATTTGGCAGTGTTTTAAATTAACATTTTTAACACTTTGAGGAAAATTCTAATTTACTGTTATGGAATTACTCTTTGAATACATGTAAAGAAAAACAGATAATTTTGTGATAGTTGTTCGCATAGACATAAATTTTAAATTTGGGTAAATTAGAATAAGAAAAAGAAAAAAAAAAAATTATTTAACAATAAAAAGACGTAGTCCACACATCAGATAATTCGACCACGGTGACGACTGGTATTTCTCATTACCTGCAGTTTTTACTGTGCATACTCGGTCTAAACTAACTAACTAAATGCTGAAAAGACAAATTACCATTATTAGTGTGCTGACTGGTACAAAATATATACCAAATATGTCAATGTATCCACACGGTTTTAAGGGTGAAGCAATTCAAAAAGAAAATAATAACCAATTAAAAAAAAACCACGAGGACTGGTCGAAGTTTCTTCACGCAGTTTTCTTAGGGATATTCTCAAGTTCTGGTGAATTTGAATTGCCTATTTAGCTGGTTTGTAATCACTTTCTTTTATTAATCCACCAGTGCCATAAGTTGGAATCATCAATTTCAGCCCAATCGGGATCCACTGCTGGACAATAGGCCCTCCCCAGTTCTTTCCAGTGCTCTCTACACTGGGCCGCTTGTAGGCAGTTTTCCCGCCTAACCGTTTTATAACAACGGTCCATACTAGTCGGTGGTCGTCCTCGGCACCTTTTATTAGTTTTCTGGGCCTCCAAACCAAACTACGTCTTGTCCACCGGCCATCTTGTGTTCTGGCTAAGTGCCCTGTTCCAGTTCCACTTAAGGCGTCGTGGTTCTTTCGACGGACCGGGTCCTGAACTTCCCTGAATCTTTGCCTGATTTGTTGGTCTGTTTATGTGGTACTCCGAAGGCCCAGTTCCATTTAGTGTTGGCCAAATCGGGAAATTACAGTCGGTAAACTCACTTGTTCTTCGTCCCTTAGGTCTTCATTCCTAACTCGGTCACGAAGCGATATACTCAGCATTAGATCTTTCCATTTTTCCTCTGCTTAAGTCTATTTGCAGCGTTTTAGAACTTGTAGCTCGACAATGTTTAAAGATTCGGCACCATAGGTCATCACAGGCCAGCCACACATTGATTGGGTCCACATGATTTACGTTTTAAACGAAATAGGTATATCGCCTTTAACGATGTCTTTGAGTTTTCTCCAGGGCTGTCCCATGCTAGTGGCATGGGCCACGGGCAAGCCCCCATGTTAGTAACTGCTCCATAAGTGTGTTATAGTGTTAAGGTCTCACGCTCCATAAGTTTTGTACAGGCAAAAACACATGGTTATAAACCTTTCGCTTGGAGACACATGGGAATCGAGCTTTTTAAAAATACGGCTTAATTTGCCAAAAGCCTCCCATCGTTAAGGCGCCTATTCGCCCTCTGCATTTCATGTGTTTTAATTGTCTCTTGTTTATTTTTGATTTCGTGGCCCCCGATATTTGTAAGTGTCAGTTTTGTTGGTATGGAATATATAGTCAATAGTTAGATTTGCCACTCATTACGAGATCTTGTTATAAGCTTACGTTTTTCTCAAAGTTATTTTCTTATTAATCCTCGCTCTTTCAGACAGACCTTTTTAAGCGAATGCATCATAGAAACTGTTATAAATGATAAGTTATCTGCGAATTAATACAACATATATCTGCAAATCATAGGTTGATTTAATCTTTCTCCATCTAATATAGATAGCCCATATCTTTCGCCAATGAGTGCTCTTAAATAGTGACTTCTAGAGCTTGCCGTGAACCAATTTTGGTGAAATATTGTCCTCCTTGTAGAGTAATAAAATGTGTAAATACTTGATGTAAAAAATATTTGTACATCCGGAGACTACTGAAAAGAGGGAGGAGACGCATTACTTAAAGCATACATGAGCTGATAAGAAAGATATGGTTGAATAAACAGCTACCAAAGGAGTGGAATAGCGGCATTATTGTACCACTACATAAAAAAGGAAACCAGTTAGAATGTGAAAACTACCGTGGAATCACGCTGTTGAATGCGGCATACAAAATAATGTCCAACGTAATGTATGAAAGACTTAGACCATACGCTGAAAAAATAGTTGGCAAATACCAATGTGGCTTCTATAGACAGAAGTCAACAATAGACCAGATATTTGTTCTGCGACAGATACTTGAAAAAACAAGTGAATATAACATCGACACACATCATCTCTTCATAGACTTCGAAAGCGCATATGACAATATAAACCGAGAATTCCTAATAAAAGCAATGAAAGAATTTAATATACCAACACAGCTAATAGAATTGATAAAAGAAACACTAAAAGTAGAAAGTAAAATCCGGATACAAAACGAATTAACGGAAACAATAGATGTGAAGAAGGGACTACGCCAAGGAGACGCTCTATCATGCATATTATTTCAACATCATACTTGAAAAAATAATAAGAGACACAACAGTTAATACCCGAGGAACAATAATTAATAAAAGCGTGCAAGTACTAGCATTTGCAGATGATGTTGATATAATCGCAAGATCAAGAAGAGAAATGATAGAGGCATTCACTCAAATAGAACGAGCTGCAAAAAATAGTGGTCTTAAAATCAATCAGACAAAAACAAAATATATGCCTGCAAATAAAAACGCACAAATAAGGCAGCTGCCAAATTTAACAATAGGAGAATACAACATTGAGGCGGTAAAAAACTTTACATACTTAGGATCCCTAGTTACGTCTGATAACAACGTTGCAGAGGAAGTGAAGAGGAGAATATTTATTGCCAATAAATGTTACCATGGCTTAATTAGGCAACTAAGATCAGATAACGTCTCCAGAAAAACAAATGCCAAATATACAAAACCTTAATAAGACCGGTACTCACATACGGTTCAGAAACCTGGACACTCTCTAAAAGGGAGGAAACGTTATTAGCCACCTTTGAAAGAAAAATCTTGCGGACACATATATAAGGGCACAAAAGAAAACGGGATTTGGCGGAGAAGGTATAACTTTGAACTATACAACATATACCAGGATCCGGATATCATAACATTCATTAAAATAGGAAGGCTACGTTGGATTGGACATGTGGAAAGAATGGAAGAAGGCGAAATACCAAACAAAATATTCAAACAAGTGCCAGTAGGAAAAAGAACAAGAGGAAGACCGAAGCTGAGATACGTAGAACAAATAGAAAATGATATAACAACATTAAAAATTAAAAACTGGAAAAAAAAAGCACGAAACAGGTCAGAATGGAGAAGAATCCTTGAACAGGCCAAGACCCAAAAAGGGTTGTCGAGCCAGTGATGATGATGATTGTCTCCTTGATCTACTCCCGCCCTAAGCTGAATTTTTTGTGTCTTCGTGTAGTCGTAACTTGATAAGTGGAATGCTTGTATTATTTCTGTAGATCATGGGGAATTTCGAGCTTTCAAGCATGAAAGGCAGAATTAAATCTGAGGTAGTGGAGGTATTTTGAAAATATGTTTTGAAGGCATGTGCCTTTTACTCGTCAGAATTTGGTTGTTCAATAATAGGTAAATACATATCAGAAAGAATAGTAACAGCAAAGATAAGAATGGAGAAGGAAGACCTGAACATCATCGGAGTATACGGCCCAGAAAATATCAAGCTTCAACAAAGGGAAGTGTTTTATGACAATTTTAAAAGTAGTAGATCAAGTCAGAGGGAAGATGATAATATTGGGGGATTTTAACGCTCGAATAGGCAATCAAGTAATACCCAGAATTAAGCAAAAACATAACGAGGATGTCAAACACGAAAATGGAGAACGGATGATAAACTTCTGCACGAATAACGAACTAAGAATAAACAACACATTTTTTGATCACAAAGGTCAACACAAATATACATTTAATAACACCCGTGGATACACATCTATGATATACATGGTATACAGCCAGCTACAGGAACTTAGTTTCCTAGTGGAATCTATGATAGATTATGTTATAACCAATAGAGATATACATCCATCGAAAATAATAGACGTAAGATACCTCAACTCAGCAGATGTAGGTAGCGACCATCTCTTCTTCTTCTTTAAGTGCTGTTCCCAATCGAGGGGTGGATATCATCATCTATTGCTGCTCTAAAGAGTTCTATAGAACTGATTTAAAACAGTCCCTTAAATTATTCAACTATGACACTCTCCTTCTTCAGTAGACTCCTTCCTGCTTCTTATCTTTCTCTGTATTATTGGCCTTAGCAGTTCATATCGCTGTGCCATCATTACGTGTCCCAGATATTGTAACTTTCTTATTTTTATCGTGTTTATTATTTCGCATTCTTTGCCCATTTCTCGCAATACTTCCGTGTTAGTTTTCTACCATCTCCTAGTATTATGTAAAATAAGAATAATCCTGAAGTACTTCCGACTCAAGAGAGCGGCGCCAACACAAACAAAAATCAAAGTCAAAGGACTAAATACGGAATCCACAGAATACTTATACAGGAAAAGAGTATCAGAGAAGATGGCTGGGAATGAAATATTAGAAAACGATTGAACGTCGAGAAATGCCGGGAAAAACTCAAAAATAACATAATTAACCCTTTATGGGGCAAATATGTATATCTTAAATGACAAATTTGAAAATTTGACTGGGACGACTGGTGTTAAAAGGGACAAAATAACGTAAAAACATTTGATTTATAACAAATATATTGCAAATAAAAAAGTTTGTTAATGTAACCATATGATCACATTGACCATTCATGGTTATCTTTTAAGACATAACTTACTGACGTATGAAATGACACAAAATTACATTTTTCACACTTCGACTTGTACCCTTTTGACAGTACACTTTCGTTGTGTGGGGCAGGCCAATGGCCAACACAATCTTTTCTTGTATTATGTGGTCTTTCAATAACTGGATATTTAATTTTTTCTATTGAAACCATATTCAAAGAGCTAGGTCTATCACGTTGACATTTTTTCCCGACATTAGCTAATAAGGATGCAAGCTCTTTTCAAAAAGCTTTTAAAGGTTTATATTTTTTTATATTTAAAACCTCACAATCATTCCGATATATAAGCCAAGCATTTATGACACGCAATGTAACCACTCGGTAACATCGTTCATTTGTATGTAAAAGGCAAGGAACGTGCTGCAGTGTACTTTGTAATAATTGCAACCATAAGGTTACAATTCCCGGTAAAGGGTTAAGGCAGCAACAGAATCACTTGGAGAGAGGAAAGTAACGAACGCTAACATATCAAAAAAGAAAACCCCATGGTTTAGAGAGAAAGTGAAGACAAAATGTGATGAAAAGAAGAAAGCCTTTTTACATCCAGAACACAACACAACAGGCATACACCATATAAACGAATCAGAAATGAAACGAATACTTTAGTTAAGACAAATAAAAATGGAACAATGGCAGAGCTTCTCTTAAACACGAACTTCTACGGAACACAAAAAGAAATATGGAGAATGATCAGAGGGACAAAGAAAAGAGATGAACGAACTAATAAAAACGAAACAACATTCAGAAGGAAACATGGGTAGACTACTTTCGATCCTATTTGCTAAAGGTGACTGATAATGAAACCATCAACATCAGAGGTGAGCGACAAACGAAGAAATAAATATTGAGGAGAAGAGGTAAAGAAAGATTAAGGAAATAAAAAATAGAAAATCACAGGAGAGGACAGAATACCGAACGAACTCCTAAAGTACGGAGGACCAGATCTGACCAAACAACTATTAAAACTAATCAAAAAATAATAGAACAAAACAGAATTCCTCAAGAATGGAGATCAAGCATCCTGATACCTCTCTTCAAAAAGGAGAGACAAATCAGACCCGGAAAATTACAGAGGAATTAATTTATTAAACACAACACTAAAATTAACAACCAAAGTGATAACAAATAAACTGAATGAAATTATAACACTAGCAGAAGAACAACAAGGTTTTTAGGTCGGAAGATCATGCACGACGCTATATTTATAATGAGGCAAGTGCAAGAGAAATCATTAGAATACAACAAACCGGCATATCTATGTTTCGTGGACTTAAGAAGGCATTTGACCGGGTCAAATTAAAGAGACGTTATCCACTTACTGTACGCAAGAGAGATACCTCTAGGAATAATCAAAACGATCGAAAATATCTACCAAAACAACACAATAAAAGTAAAAGTAGAAGAAGAACTAACCGACCTATTGAAGCTGGCAATGGATAAGACAGGGAGATTCCCTGAGTCCTCTATTGTTCAACCTGATTATGGATGAAATAATAAAAAAAGTAAGAACTAAAAAAGGATACCAAATGGGAGAAAAACAACTTAAAATATCTGCTATGCAGACGACGCATACTACTCTCAAAGTGAAGATGATTTACAACGTATGCTGCACCAATTTAATATAACCGCCAGAAAATTTAACATGTTAATTTCCCAAAAAAGACAAAATGCATGGTTACAACAGCAAATTTACTAAGATGTAAATTGGAGCTGGAAGGTCAGATAATAGAACAAGTGATGGAGTTTAAATATCTAGACATCACATTATCTAGCTACAGAAAGCTCGAAACTGAAGTGGAAGATCAAGTGAATAGAGCAAAGAGAGCCGTAGACTGCCTGGATGAAACAATATGGAGAAATAAAAATATCGCGAAAGAAACGAAAGTCAGAATTTACAAAAAAATTATGGTAAGGTACTACCACACTGCATTCTAACTGTAGCTTCTCCTATAGATAGCTAATAGAAAATTGCATCGCTTCCATTTCGCCTAGTTTTAACACTGACTAGCCGATGGAACTAAAGTACACCATTCTGTTGATCCACTTATTACATTGCAAAGATAAAATACAAGCTACCTTTTGGCGTAGATAAACTCAAAACCCTAATATTATGAATTAATTATATTTAACTGGGAATAAGCCACAATTAAAGATAAAAAATCAAATCAAATCACATATAATGTAAAAAAGGAAATAATTAAATCCTTATATGATAGAGCCAAAATTTACTTGTTCTAACGAAAATTCGTTCTTGGAGGAGAAAACATTTGTTAACATCTGTTTTATTAAAAAATGATTATCTTTTATCGTTTATAAATAAGGAATTTTCAACATCGATCGAATAGAACAGAACAACTTAGAACGAGATCCTACAGCATACACAAGGAATAATATGAGGAAAATATTAATACCGTACATAAAAGGATTATCAGAAAAACTTAAAAGGATAGAAAATAAATCAACATTTCAACAACATTCAAAACAACAAACACGTTGAGATCTATTTTGTCCCAAAACCAAACCTAACAATAGAACAAGAAAGGACAAAGAATTGCATTTATAAAATACCTTGTGAATGCGATCAGTTTTATTTAGGTGAATCATCAAGGCCATTAAATGTTAGAATAAGTGAACATCAATCTATATTAAAAATAGAGAATTTTGATAGACTCAAATATGCAGTATAAAACACGCATGGGATAATGAACATAGGGTTCAATGGAATAATTCAATGTAGACTAAAAGAAACGGATGTAAAAAAAGAAAAATCAAGTAAGAAGCGGCTCTAATTATGCTAAATGAGGCCAATTGTGTCGCAAATCCCTCGGCAAGAATGTAGTAGGATCTGGTTACCATATTGAAAGAGGAAGTTATTAATAAGAAATATACCAGTATTAGTAAGTCGTAACATATAGAGGATTCATCATTTATGTTTTTTAAATAACGTAACATATATGATCAGAATTTTGATGTTTGTTGAAGGTTAAACTAAATCACGAACAAATACTTACAATGTCGGGATAGTATTATGAAGGTTTTTTTCCTGGTTTTTCCCTCATAATTACTATGGAATCCACTAAGAGGAGAATTTTTACTGTCATCATGTCATGTTGTTTGTCTTTTTAAAGACGAATTACCATGCTATGATTTTATTCTTGACGGCTATTCTCAAGTTAAAGTTGTATTTCATGTAATCGAATGAACTATCTTATAAGTAAAGTCGTCCCCAGGAGCGCAACTCAAACAATATTGGCAATATCATTTTTAAAGTCGTCTACTTTAAAATGCATAATGTATGTCTGAATTGTCAATATAAATGAGTCAGATAAAATTAAATTATTAGAAGAATTTTTCACTATGTAACAAAAACCAAATTTTGTTTAATTATACTGTTTTGTATTTTGAGAACGATTTTCTGAAGTGGAAATTGAAACGTCAATAAACATATTTTTTATCTTTAATTGTGGCTTATTCCCAGTTAAATAGTAATTAATTTACAATGCCACAAGAAAAATAGCTTCAGAACAATACTAATATTATTAGTTACCTAGTTATGGAACTGAGCCCATGATATATTATACAGTGCGTTCAATAAGTCCGCACCATAATTTTAATTATAGTTTTTAAAAAGTTCTGCTTGTTCTAAACCCCAAAAATACAGTCATTAAATATTAAACTTTTTCAGTCATATACGAGGTTTTTCAAAAAATATGAACATAAAATTCAGAACTTTTTCTAAAAAATAACTTTTTTTACACACACTGTGTATTGTCAGTACTATTTTCTGGATTTCTAAATATCGTAATAAAGTGTTTTTATTTTAACATGTCTGTAACAAAATGATAATTATGATTTGTTTTTAGGTTTTGTCGGACTATTCAATCTCCTTCTTTTATGGCCACTATTTTTCTTTCTACATTTTAGTAAATTAGAAATTTTCGAATGGCCTACGAGGGAACAATTGCTGCTGTTACTATTAAATGGTTTATTGGGAACAGTAATATCAGAAGCACTCTGGTTATGGTAAGCATTACAGTCAAATATTTTAATGCATAATAGAACTTATAGTCTTAGGTATTCCTCCTAAGTGCCTTCTCGATTCGGGTTTGCGATAGTATGGCAAATTTACGTTTGTGTTCAGCTTGATGAATTATTTGGTTTCCTGTTATATGCGTTCACTCTCTTGTGTTACGCAACCATGATTTTTTTTCCTCCCTATACTTCTCTTTGCTTCAAGATTGGATTAGATTCCAAAGTTATATTACTTTTTTATAATTTTAATAGTGTTTACTAGTTTCGGCCGTGTGTTCTTCGTCTTCTTCTTCTTTTAAGTGCCATCTCCGCGACAAAGTTGGCAATCATCATGGCTATTCTGACCTTCGAGCAGCTGCTCTGAAACATTTACCTTGAGCTGCAACCATACCACTCTCTCAGGTTCTTTAACCAGGAAACGCGTCTTCTTCCTAGGCTTCTCCTACCCTCTATTTTTCTTGAATTATGAGTCTCAATATATTGAATATTTCGCCTCTCTATTACATGTCCCGAGATATTGCAATTTCCTTTCTTTTATTGCATTTTCCATTTCCCTCTCTCTGCATATTCTCCTAACACTTCAGCATTCGTGACTCTATCTACCCATGGAATCCTTAACAATTTTCTAAATGTCCACATTTCAAACGCGTTAAGTCGATTTATTGTATTCCGGTTTAATGTCCATGATTCAGCTCCATAGTAGAGTTTTTAAACAGTATGAACATAGGTCGTGTGTTCATGCTATTTAATACATATTCGTTAATGGTTTTGTTTGTCCACGTGTCGAATATGTTTAGTATTCTAATATCATATGGTTTTAGTATCCATATTTCGCATCAGAATAGTAACTAAGGACATATTTTTAATCGTATTAGTATGGATATTTTTTAATTATAGAGCATTTTACGCATGTTAATAAATCCAGATCATTTTCGATTTACATATTTGCTAATTTATGCTATTTATCTCTCGTCCCAGATACTCTCTGCGTCATAGAAAACGGGCCACCCCAAATATTTAAAATATTTTCGAAATTATTATTTATTGCTACAGAATTAAGCATTTAATGTTTTGTATATTGAATAAATATACAAAAATTTGACGAAATTTACAAAGCTCTAAAAAAGATAAAGAATAAAAGCTCCGGGGGTCAACGGTGTCGTCACGGAACCGATAAAGATAGGAGGCTCAGTACTGATAGCCAAAATTTAAAAGACCTGGAAAGATATAGACCAATCAGTCTCCTTAACCATCTTTATAAATTATACACCCGAATAAAACGAACAGGTTAGAGACAAAAGCTGGATTTTTTACCAACCTCGGGAACAAGCTGGTTTTCGCCCTAATTACAGCACAAACCGATCACCTGCAATGCCTAAAAACCCTGATAGAAAAAACTAACGAATATAACCGTCCCATGGCATTGATATTTGTAGACTTTAAAAGGCGTTTGATACAGTGGAACTACCGTCCATCTTAAGAGCACTACAAGATTGCAGGGTCGACCACAGATATTGTAATATAGTCAAAAATATATGTGAAAATGCCACAACAACCATAAGTCTCATTCTGCAACTAATAAAATAAAGATAAAAAGTGAAGTCAGGCAAGGGTCCATGTCACCAAAGCTGTTCATTACCGTTCTTGAGTATGCATTTAAAAAACTAACATCGACAAGAGAAAGGAATATCCATCGATGGAGAAAGATTAAACCATCTACGTTTTGCGGACGATATCGTGCTTCCGTCAGATAATCTGGGAGAGATCAAAGACATGCTCAAGAACCGAATGACATACTACAAGAAAACTGGGCTGGAGATAAATTTCGAGAAAACCAAAATGATGACCAATATGGTTTCCCAGCGAAGAGATACAGATTAATACAACAAGGTCGAATTAATCGATAAATACACATATCTGTGTCATGAAATTAGAATAAACCAGAGACAACCAAACCTGCGAGCTAAATAGACGAATCACGTTAGGATGGGCGGCATATGGAAGGATGAGAGACATTTTTAAAACAAATATCCCAATTCACCTGAAAAGGAAGGCATTTAACCAATGCATCTTACCAGTCTTGACCTATGGAGCAGAGACCTAACTTTAACGAAAGCTGCTGCCGAAAAACTGAGGGTAAACACAAGGCGAATGGAGAGATCAATGCTGGGCCTGACCTTGAAAGATCGCGTGAGAAATGAGGAGATACGCCGACGAACTGGCGTAGACGATATTATACTGCGAATCAATAAACAAAAGTGGAGGTGGGCTGGACATGTTGCTAGAATGGCCGACAAGCGAAGTCGAGGCAGACCACCCACCCGATGGACCGACGACCTAAGGAGAATAGAAACAAACTGGATTGCAGCAGCTAAAGATAGAGAGAACTGGAGACGTTTGGAGGAGGCCTATATCCAACAATGGATGCGAAAATGGGGCTGGATGATGATGATGATATTGAATCAATAACTCGTTTAGTATAAAATTTCATCATTATCGTAAAACATCAATCGAAAATAAAAAAACTTATTGAAAAAATCAACTTACAGTTTTTAAAACAACAGTGAACTGTATATTAAAAAAAAGTGGTATATTTCCAGTAATGGGTATTGCCACCTCGATTCTGGATTGCACTCCTCATTCGATTTGGCATGGAATTTATAACATTTTGGATATCTCTTTGGGGAAAAGTGGCCCATTCCTCAATGAGTGCCATCTGAAGCTCTCCAGGTGTTGTTGGAGCAGGTATGCGACGCCTAACGAGACTTTTTAGCAGGATCCATATATGCTCAATAGGATTTAAATCGGGGCTTTGAGCAGGCCAGTTTATTTTTGGAATACCAAACTGGTCAAGGTACTCCGTTACTATCCTTGTCATGTGTGGTCTCGCATTATCCTGCATTGGCAGGAATTCGTTGCCAATAAATCCAACCTAAATCCCTGCCGAAAACATGACTGAACCACCGCCAAAAGCAACCCGTGGTGCCCAAGTGCAACCAGTGAAACGTTCTCCAGCCCGTCTGTACACCTTACTGCGTCCGCCTTTAACCATAAACATTCTACACTCATCGTAAACAATACTTTTTCCAATCGTTCTGCTGCCCAATTTATGTGCTCATGGGTAAAATCGAGTCTTCGTCTTTTGTGAGCTGGGGAAAGTAAGGGCCCCGTGGCTGGACTGCAAGCTATCAAAACTTTGCTCCCTTAATCTTCGCGAAATAGTAGAAAGGCTGATTACTGCGTCCTTGTTAAGATGTTGATGAGATCCGGTCACAATAAGTCGTTGCCGGGTCCTTTGTACAGTCGAACGACTAACATTCAATTGTCTTGCAACTTATCTTTGACTTAATCCATTTCTCAGTAATGTTACAATTTCATCCGATTTTTGAAAATTCTCTATCGTTATTAACTCAAGATTTCTTCACACTAAGTCGACTACTGTAATACTGAGATGCGTTTAAAACTCATTAGAACCCTTTACAATATCATACATTTCTCAAAACAATCGCTTCCTCTAAAATTGATCAAGTTGTAAACAACTTTTTCTCAAAATTGTTTTGTTTTATAGGATCTACGAATATCCTCAATCCAGTTACAGGGTCGGTTTGCTTTCGCAACAACCCATTTAACTTAAATAACCCAAGACAAATTAAAAATAAAATAATAATAATTCAATATACAAAAAAATAAATGCTTAATTTTGTAGCAATAAATAATAATTTCGAAAACATTTTAAATATTTGGGGTGGCCCATTTTCTATGACGCAGAGTGTATATGTAGCTTTGTACATTCTGGAGGGTAATCCCATATACGGTGTAATTTGCTCTTGGGGATTTATGCATGAAATCATAAAAGGCATAATGGCTTTCTTCTCTAAAAGTCTGTCTTCATTGACATATGTGTTACTGGTAGTTTTAGTAGAAATTTGACTCTAACGTACAGGGGCTCTATATGAGGATGATCCTTTTTTGGAAGCAACAATACAAGCTGGGGAGGAAGTGCTTCATGCGATATCTGCCAACATAATGGATAGGTGATGCAATCTGTTCATGAAACAAAACAGCAGACGCACCTGAAGGTTCCTTCGGAATTTTAGCCACGGTCCAGCCATCCCGGCACTCAATCAAATAGAAGCCACTCCGATCAGATAGCCTACCGTCTTCTGAGAAATGGTAGGTTGAGATCAAGAAAGAACAAGGTGGGGAGTCCAATGAAATAGTGACGAAGAAAGGGATGTTCTAGATACTTTTTTGTCTGGACCAGCACAGTCAGACAAAATACAGCGGCTCGCCTGGATGAAATACAAATAAATCAACTAGAAGTTTTGACCAATAACCGTAGAGTAGCTTGTACGAATGATAAATTGCTACACCGTAAAATACAAATCTCCAAAATCTGGAGTAAAACCAGAATTGTGGTTCCCTTAAATCCCCAAAAGGATTCGATAGATACAAAGAGTTTTTAGACCTGGCTCTCTGTTGAGTCACCCTTTTCAGGGCTTTCGAGAGAATAGATACTGAAACGAGTCGCTGACTTCCAACATATTTAAGATGGTTTTGAAGGGGAAAAAATAAAAGAGGTAGCGTTCATAGACCTGACTGCCGCCTATGACATAGTTAACATCACACTATTAACGGCTACTATTTAAACTATGAATATACTCCGATTTTCCGACTCACAAGATTGGTGAAATGTGTTCTCCAGAACAGATGGTTCTACGTAACACTCCAGTCCAGGAACAGGAACAGGGGTGGGGGGACCAAAAAATGGTCTAATGCAGGGAATTATTCACGCGCCGATTATATACAACATATACAAGAACGACTAACCCATAAACTAACAAACAAAACAATTTACACTTATTTTGTAGTTTGCGTATAATTGCATATGAATTTGCAGACTTTCAAATAGCTCCAATATATTATTTTTCAGGGGTTGCTTTCTGACATCTTCTCTTATGGCTACCGTCGCCATGAGTTTGACAATACCAATGACCATGTTAGCAGACGTACTACTAAAAGAAGTACCTTACCCAATACTATTTTACACGGGCACGTTACCAGTGCTTGTAGCCTTCCTAGCTGTCACTGTTCTCTCACATTACGAGAACTGGGACCCAGTGTTCGATATATTACAATGTGCCTATCAAAACGTCTGCAACAAGAGCAGATTTATTCGGTAAGCCTTTTTTAATTTCTATTGACGGGGTATGTTCACGCCGCAGTTAAAATGAGTGGCATTCAAATAAACTCACGTTTAACAATTCTCTGAGTATACTAAAACAATTTTTAATTGAAGGTGATTACTTGGCAACATCGTACTTAACGAAGTCCTTAACGATAACTTTTTAACGAAATCGTATTGAAATTATCAATTTTGCAGAGGCGTACCAAAAAAAAATTTAATTATTTATTTAAACACAAGTAATTACGTAAAAATTAAATCTAAAACCGATTTAATTATTAAATTATCATGTCTCTTTTCACAGGTATCTTATAGTTATCTAACAAAGTAAAGTAAAATTTTATTCTTATTAGAGAGTATCTAATAGAGAACTTCAAAAAACAGAAAACTTTAAAAAATACTTATTTTTTTTTTCATTAGACTAAAAACAATCTGCAATTTTAATTACACATCATTCTTTATTTATAGAATTGCTGTGTGCTGTAAACGTTATATTTAATTTTTTTAACTTAATTTGAAAGTTTCCTTGTGTTTATTTGTTTATATAAATATGAAAATGTATTAGGAAGTTCCTATAAATTAAAATGAAGTAAGCTAAACTATTATTAGCTGAATGCGTTTATATAGTAGTGCATTTGTTTATTTCAGTAAATTCTCGAAATATGAAATGAAGAGGGCACTAACTACTAAAGAATTAACAGCTTTGTTAGAAGAAGACTCAGATTGTAAAAATGCTGATTTACTTAATGTGGTGTATTTGCCGCCGAGATTAGATTAGAAAGTTTCTGATGTAGAACACATTAAGCATCTTCTTCTTCTTCCTTCTAGTATGTAGGCTGTAAAGCCTGTTTCTTCTTCAATATTAGCCTCCTAACTTGTTTGAATTATCCTACCATATTTTTCTTGGTCTGCCAATACTTCTTCGTCCATTTGGTTAGTTATCTCGTGCTATTCGTACTATTCTATCCTCTGCCATTCTACTGATGTGTTCGTTCCATTCCTGTTTTCGTTTTGTCACCCATCCATTTACGTTTTCTATATTACATAATCTTCTTATGTTTTTGCTTCTCTCCCTATCTCGCCGTGTATGTTAATATATGTCTAATTGCTGCTTTATAGACTCTTGTTTTTGTGTCTTGTCTTAGGTGTTTGTTCTTACAGATTGTGTCATTAAGAGAACCCGCCGCTTTACTTGCTTTTAAGCTTTGTTGTCGTACTTCTTCTTCAACATCTCCGTAACTAGTTTTATATCTATTCCCAGATATCTAAACCTTGTTTTCGGCTTTATTTCTCATCCATTTCGATTTTACACCGTAGTGGGTATTTAGATGTTGTCATACATTTGTACTTTTCTGCTGATATTGTCATAATGTATTTCTTAGCTGTTGTATTGAAGAGATGTGTTCATCTTTAGAGCTCGTCTTTTGTCTCGGCGATTAATGTGGCGTCGTCTGCATAACATAATATTTGGATTTCTTTATTCCCCATTATGCAGCCATGACCTTTTCTATTTTTGAGTGAATTTATGACTATTTCTACTTCCTGAAAACTGATTTCTATTTGGTGTCTTAATTTAGATACGTTATTGTGTTGATTATTATATTCCTTTGCTTTAAACAGTTCCGTCGGGTATCTTACCCATTCGTTTGCTGGTATATTATTGTATTCCTTGAAGACATTGATGATAATATTATTAGTAAAGAATCAATAACATCGGATATTGCAGGTACATGTGAAATACAAGTGATTTGGAATTCTGATTCTTATTATGATATTCCTCTGAACCACAGATAAAACGTCCAAAGAAAAAACCAGGCAAAAATATTAAACCCAATTTATCTCTAGTTGTAATAACGGATATTCATTCGTGCTCAGTAGTAACTCAACATCAGTCTGATTGATATTTAGACAATATAAATGCCAACCGTGGAGGCAAGTCATTAATTGAAGTTTTTTCACTGTTTTTGATAAAAAATAATTGAGAATAATCGTCACAATTTTGAAATGAATAACATAGATTTAAATAAAATTATTAGCATATGTATATTATCTGGCTTACACTTCGCTTCAAGTTGATATGCATTGATCAAAGGATGAAGATAAAGAAGTGTATATTATAAGAGAAAGCATGAGCCGATATAGATTTATAATTTTAATTTATAACAGTGAAGAAACCGCTACATCAGTGTCACTTAGTACATGGACGTCAATCTAAATTTGCTTTGCCAGATCAAACCAGATTCGACAATATTGGCTACATTACAAAAAGAGACGATAGTGCAAAAATGTGGGATGTACAAAAGTAATACTATTTATGTATGTAAAAAGTGTAGAATGCATCTACACCCCGAAAGTTTCGAAAATTTTCACCTTAAAATTTAATTTACGTTTAAGATACAATATGTTCATTTATTAAAAATTGTACTGTTTTCCTTGAAAATGAGAAAAAAATTATAGTTATTTATATATATATATATATATATATATATATATATATATATATATATATATATTTATATATATATATATATATATTTATATATATATATATATATATATATATATATATATATTTTTTTATATATATATTATTTATTTTTATATATATATAAGTTTTAATTATAAATCAGTCCTAATTTATGTGTTTTTAATCGAATCTAATAAATTAATTGTCAAATTTCTCTTTGTATATTGAGCGGCCGTTAAGGGTTTAATACTATATAAAGAATAAACTGGTCTCAAATTTACTTTACTTACCTTAAAACTATTTTAAAGTTAATAATAAAGATTATTTAATAAATATATTCCCAATAACACACTACGCTTATGCACAAATGTTTATAATCTGGAAGGAATAAACAAGATATCATATTTCTCTCATTAACATTCTTTCTAAGAACGTAAATATATATAGACCAGCAAAATATTGCTAAGTTTATCGATGTTTCAAACTATTCTTTGAACTTGTCTCACTATACACTCGTGAATCGCACCAATGTATATTGTTACGGGGGCAAATTTATCTTACATGGGTTACAAATTTACATACTTACATGGGCGAAGCATACACAATAAAAATGACCCCGGTAAGAATTTACTAATGAAATTTTACATGGTTGCCACTACCGTTTAGTTCAATTTGTAGATTAGTCACCTTTAATTGAAAAATAGTTTGAACTATAGATGGCAGCACGAGCATCATATTCTATTTTGATTTTCCCGAAATTGAATTCTCTGAACAGCGACATTGTTGAAATCGAGGCCAAGTACTGGGACTTATAATACACGATCGGTAGAATCGGTACAGTTCACTCTCAATCAGCAGTTTTCGTCAATGTACGTTGAAATTAGCTATTGTTTGAAGTTTCACAAATTCAAGTTTTTGGATTGGATCATTCGATATAATTTTTTAATTTTTGTATCGGGTTGATTGTTGTTCATTTACCTTTGAAATTAAGTTGTTGTTTTGATTTCGAGTGTTGTTTTTTTAGTTTTATAAACATTTTAAATAGTGCATATCAGTCTTGTTTCTTAATTAAATTTCAAGTACAAAATAATTACTTATAATGAAAATATACACCTGTAAACCTCATAATTACTTAACCCAGCAGCGGACGCTAAGGCTAATCAGTTCTTTGTAATTTTACATTTTTCTTGACAACAAGGCTAATTGAATTTATATTTATTATCTTCTGTTGCTAAATCAATTTTTTGTTCATTTTGAACTTCACTCTCTAAAAAAGCTCAATCTTGTTTCTAAAGTTGTAACTGCAGTTTGCAGTTTCTCCGATATTTTCCGTGGACACGGAAACATAAGGTGCCATAGTCGAATCATATCTTCTGGCAAACATGACTCAATACGAGGATACAATATCGCCGCAAACTTGTCATCAGTTTTGTCTAAGGTCTCAAGTGAACGAAGTTGACCCTCAATCATATTATGAAGAGTAGAAATATTGCAAGGACTAGTAGAAATTCGACTCAAAAGTAACTGTAAGAGCTCTCTAATGATAACTTCAATCGGAGATCCTCTCTGCCAAACCTAGACTGCAAATTCTGAATAATTTTTGAACTCGGTTGGAGCTAATTTAAATGTGCGCTTACCTTAACACTTGATGATTCTGAACTGACTGAACGTGTTCTCTCATCATATTTGTACTTAAGTTTAAAGTACCTTGCACTGTATTTATCCTTTGCCTTCATCTCACTGATTAACTCTTCTTCGGAAGCTTCTTCGAATATACTTTCAAGTACCGCACTCTCCACTTCACAAAACTCATTGTACTTTACTTGTAAGCGTTCTCACTGTACACTAATTTTCTGCCAGGGTCGCGTGTCTACCGGTTCAGCTAACAAACTGTCCAAAACAGTTACCGCAGTACCGTTCTGCGTTTTTGCAGAAATAGTACGTTTTGCGCTTTCTGGGTTCGAAATAATACAACATTAAATTTTAAGTACAAAAAACTTACGTTTGTATTAAATTACACAAGAAGTGTAGTTTTATTTTTAATACAGTTTGCTTTGGGGGTACAAATTCGACTAACTGTATCAGTATCTATGGCTATGCAGTTCTAATAATATTAATATGATACATGATACTACATTCCCAGACGAAAAAGTCGTAAAATTGAATTGCCTCACACCAGCACTCAGCTGAATCTGCTGATTAGGGAATTTTTTAAGTAAACATATTAAGTAGTTACTTGACATGTATCCTACTATACACAAAACGTTCATTAATTTGGAAATATTTTATTACTTATTTCAGGTGACAATTCTGAATTATTTACCTGTCCAAAATATTTATTTCAAACTGATAAAGGAATTTGGAATTGTTTGAAAAACGATCAAAAAAGGGATTATGGTAGAGATAGTGCAAATACTCCTGACCACGGCGCAGTAGACGAAATTTGGTTTAGTCCCCACTTCCATGGGAAACGCACTGTATTATTCCACATACAATAGAACCTTTCTGCCTTTACGTGAATTTTGAC